CGTTACGTTACGTTACATTACATTACATTACATACATACATTACATACATACATTACATTACATTACATTACATTACATTACATTACGTTACGTTACGTTACATTACATTACATACATACATACATATTTACATACATACATACATACATACCTACCTACCTACCTACCTACCTACAGTCATATATATATATACACATATATAGATAGCAAAGCAACCACACCCACAGACACAAGGACAATTCACGGGGTGCCTTGGATCTTCCGACTCCAACGCCTTGGGGCATGTGCATCAGATGCGCATGGGAGGATTTAGATCGAAATGCTTTCCAGAAATGTCACCCGGAAAATGAGGCTTTAAAACGTTTTAAACCATGGGATTTTGATTTCAAAGATACGAAAAATTCGGGCTAGAACTGATGACTGGGACAACCTCTGCGTTGATTCAATCCGGCCAAGTCACCTTGACACAGCGCTGCAAACGTTCCACAAAGTCCTTGTTGAAGACCTGAACTGCGTGTAAGGTGGGCCCACCTGTCACAAAATGGGTATGGTTCCATGGCACTTTGGTGACATTATTTTTCAGTGAGTAAACCATCCATTAGGGTTCCATAATTTTGATCCGTTCCCACATGGTTCTTCACACCCAATAGGCTAGACCCACAGTGATTTTTATTGAATCCCAACTTTTGACCACGACTCATTTGGATCCTATCCACCAGAGTTTTGCTCGAGCGGCTGCATCATCCTCTGCCACAACATACAAGTGGTCCTGCCAAGTCAGGGTGTGGTAAGTCCAGTAATGAACCCCCCTTGTTTTGAACATAAGTCAAAGTCCCCAAATGGTAAAGTTACGTAAAGTTTTTATATAGAGTATTTCTTGATATTATTGGGCTTACCCAATGGAGCTTCGAATTCCCACGCCCTTCATGGTCTCGAGAGAAGCACTCTGTTGATCTTCACCCTTCTGTACTAAAAGAAATCAAGCCTTGGGCAACGTGGGCAGTTGCCTCAACCTACTGTGGATACATGTACACACTACTACTGATACTGTATCACTTGCAACTCTGCGAAGCGCATGCTCCTCTGGAAGAAGGAGGAAGAAAAGGGGCAACAGCTTCAGCCGGTCCTGGTCATCTGATGCGATTCGTTGCAGCAGCGTGTGATACGAAAGAATCAAACCTCGGTCGCAGGGTCCCGACCCTACCCTTCAACTGCGTTGCCGGAAAGGGGACTTGATTTCAAGATACCCTCTGGTAATTTAACATAGCTATGGAAAATCACCATTTTTAATGGGAAAATCAACTATAAATGGTCATTTTCAATAGCTACGTTAAAATACCAGAGGGTAAACATGTTTAATAGTTGTCAATCTCAAGTATCCAACAAACAGTTAGTGAGAGCCTGATTCCGTTTCATGTATGGGAAATTGAACAGTTGACCCACACCAAGATTTGCCCAAAATGGGGTGGTAATGGCCATCAAAGATGCAAGTCCTCTGTGGAAGATCATCGTTTCCATGGATATATGGGTCAAACCGGTACCATCCTGGACTTTTAAGCGCACCCAGATGGTTTGAATTCAGCTCCAAATGGTCGGTGAAATTCGGTAAATATCCCAAGGCATGACCAGGAACTGAGGGTACCTCCAATTCGACAGTTCTTAGTTGAGAGAGAGAGAGACATCGATTTTTTGTTCGCTGACGTCATGTGTTGGAGACCCGCAGTGATCAAGTAACAGCTGGGGTGAACACCCAATCCACAACAAGTGAAACGGCCGTGTTGTTCTAGATCATCCCAATTCGGGGTTGCTTCATGTTGGTCCAAACTGAAGTGCTTTGAACCATCCACTCACCAAGAACTGGACCCAACGCACCACGTGTGAGTTGGACACCTCAGCTGACGCTTGCGATGACCAAGCTGGATGTCATTAGAACCTGGAGATGACTAGGAGAAGAAACACCAAACAGGCAACGAGAAATTCTGGTGGATTTGGAAACACCAAACATTCTCACCATGTTTTTGTTTTCGCATGTCTTTCACCTGGATCAATGCCTCGTTGGAACCATCAATTAAAGCTCCATTTTGGTCATTGTCCAACGATGATGATGACGGTGACGATGATGCTTGAGATGCTTGAGATGCTTGAGATGCTTGAGATGCTTGAGATGCTTGAGATGCTTGAGATGCTTGAGATGCTTGATGTGGTAGCTAGTTGATAGATCAGTTGCAAATGGAAATGACCAAACAATCCACTGGTTCATAGTCATTTGGGTCATTTTCCCTAAAAATGTCCATAACTGGAGGCTATTGGAGGCTTAATCTCTATCAGACACACCCAGCAATGATCCTGCCGAAATGGCACCGTTCACCACCTCCGGCGGCTCTGCAGCACGTCTCAGGCCATCATGGGACACTACTGAGCTGGGATACCTGGAGGCTGTAGGCCGGAAGCGGAATCAAAAACCCCAAACTTCGTAAAGAAAAGCGGAAGTGAATGGAAGCAATCACTGGCAAGTGGAATTTCACTCTACCATTGGTATTTGCTCGTTCGTTGTTCAGATCCTGTAAAGAACAATGTGACCAAGTCCAACAAAAGTTTGCGCACTGAACCGACGACAGTGGAATCTTTCCATGACCTTATGGGCAATCCAAATGGACAGAGTATCGAAATGATAAGCCGTCGGTTGAGCTACCCAGTTGTGTGACACAGGTCTTGAAACCTTGTTCTTGGAGGTTCATTTCATGTACGTTTAACATGGATCGACTGCATCGAACATCATTTCACCGCCACCCTTTCGGTCTTTCGCTCTTTCCCACTCGCAGGGCATTGGCTTTGGCCCTGTACACTTTACAATCTTTACAGCAAATCGAAAACTGACCATTTTTGTGTGACGTTTCAAAATTTTTGAAAAGCACAGACTGCCAAGGGGCCTCCGACGATGGCCCAAAATCCTGTTGGCAACTACTGTAGAATCGATTCTCAAATTGCGCTTGCCTGAAATTTCACATGAAACCCCGATAATTTTCCGAAATTTATCATTGTTCAGCGAGAAACCAATGGAATTGTTGTTCTAGCAACTTCCACCTACACTGGGGTGTCCTTGTTTTCAGGTTCCTCGTTCCATCCCAGGGCGCTCGCTTGAGTCAGTGGAAGAGAGTTCAAAGTCGTCAGAGCCATCCGAATCGGTCGCCAAGCAGACATCGCCCTGGACCCACAGGGCAGGCGCGGCTGGTCATTCGGCTGGTGTCAAACCGGGATAATAAACGGATAATATGGAGGATTCCGACACTGGAATTACCACAAAATATGGAAAATGCTATCAAAATGTATGACTTGGGGGTACGCCCACAGAAAACCTCCATGTTTTGACCCAGCAAAACCCCGAACGCGAACACGTATGGTTTACTTGGATGACCCCGAGCATTTTGGGTATTTGTTGGGGTTTGGGTTTTTGTGCCTGAACAGGTAGTTATTGGGTCAACGGGGTATGGGTTTACCACGTTGGCTAAGATACCAATGACTAGAATTAATTTGTGCTACCAGTAGTACCGCACAAGGCGGTGGCGGAAGTTTCAAAAATTGGAAACCTATAGGAGAGGTTGGTTGTTGTGAATCACGGATGGCAGAGCGAATCCACTGATGGACCGACAGGTGGTTGGAGTTGTGTTTTTTGGAATGCTTGCAATGGTTGCAGTGGTCACCTTACCGCAACTGCTGGATGTAGTGTGGTGTAGTGCAGTTGTAGTTGCAGTTGTAGCTGTAGTTGTAGTGTAGTGGAGCTGTAGCTGTAATGTAGTGTAATTAGTGTATTTGCGGCGCAGTTGCAGTTGTAGCCGTGGTGTGGTGTAATTAGTGTAGTGTAGCGCAGCGCAATGTCGTGTTGTCTTGTGTAGTGTACTGTGGTATAGTGTAGTTGTAGTTGTGGTGTAGTGCGGTGTAATTAGTGTAGTGTAGTGCAGTGCAGTGCAGTGCAGTGCAGTTGTAGTTGCCGTGTAGTGCAGTGTAATTTGTGTAGTGTAATTAGTGTAGTGTAGCGTAATGTAGTGTAGTGTGGTGCAGTATGTGTAGTGTAGTGTAGCGTAGCGTAGCGTAGTGTAATGTAGTTGTAGTTGTAGTTGCAGTTGCAGCTGCAGTTGTAGTTGTAGTGTAATGCAATGTAATCAGTGCAGTGTAGTGTTGTGTAATAATTGGTGAAATTGGTGAAATTGGTGTCGTGTAGTGTAATTAGATGCAGTTAGATGTAATTAGATGTAATTAGTGTAGTGCAGTGTAATCAGTGTAGTGTAATGTAGCGTAGTATATTTGTATTTGTAGTTGTGGGAGTAGTGTGGTGTAGTGGCAGTTGTAGTTGTTGTTGTGTTTTTCTATCTATCTATCCATCCATCTATCTATCTATCGATCGATCCATCTATCTACCTATCTACATTTATCTATCTAGCTGCAAGTGTGAAAACGAAGCTATTCTGCGAGACTCCCTCCGCTTTTGAACTTGACAACATCAAAAACGCAGCAAGTCAGCGAGACTTCCTCAATTTTTGAGCTTGACAACGTCAAAAACGAAGCAATTCTACGAGACTTCCTCATTTTTTAAGTTGACAACATCAAAAACGAAGCAATTCTGCGAGACGTCCTTCAAAAATGGAAAGTTGAGTGCAGAGCTGACGGCCTCGTACCAATGTGTTTTGCGATTTTTCCACTCCATCTTCCATCTGTCTAAACTACTGCGCCTGCCACGAAAAAGTGATGCCAGGTCATACGAAGTGCTGCACCCGTCACGCAAAATCATCTCAGTAAACCTGAAGATCTGATGCTCCAAAATGCAACCCCTCTCAGGAAATCAGCGCCCGAACCTCCTAATATCTCTGATAGACATGTCTCTTGTACTGCGCCTGCCACGGACATGCATCTTTGCAGATCCTCTTCAAATGTCCCACGCCTGCCATCCTTTTTGGAAATGCTACAAAACCCTCACGTTTTGCTCATTTTTGACAAGCTGCACAATCCCGATCGCCTACCACGCAAACGCCACCTGAACGTCCAAAAGCGCTCCGTACCCTTCAGTTTTTGGACTGTTGACTTCGAAATGTGCTTCGCGCCACAACGGCATGCACTTTTTCGACATCTCAACTTCCAAAAGTGGTCCGGAGCTGGTGTGCTTTCTACATTTTGACTTCGAAATGTGCTTCGCGCCACAACGGCGTGCACTTTTTAGACATCTCAATTTCCAAAAGTGGTCCGAGCATAGTGCTTTGTGCATTTTGACTTCGAAATGTGCTTCGCGCCACAACGGCGTGCACTTTTTCGACATCTCAACTTCCAAAAGTGGTCTGGAGCTGGTGTGATTTGTACGTTTTGACTTGGAAAATGTGCTTCGCGCCACAACGGCGTGCATTTTTTCATCTCTCATCTGGCCAGCTGGCTCCGCACCCGCCGCTTTAGCGAGCCTACTTTTCGACCCTCCAGAGCCACAAATCATTGGAAAAACACAGTGTTTGGCGACTTTCCTACCTTTTCGCGCACCTGGATCTTCTTTTTCTGAGACTTTCTCTTTTTTGATCTTCTTTCTTCTTCTCTTCTCTTCTCTGACTCTGCCCATCTCTGCTTTTCATCTGTCCATACTGTCGGAAGTTTGACTTCTAAACTTTCTTCGACTATGTGAAACATCAAAGCGCAGAGTCCATAATTTTGAGCCATCTCTATTGACATGTCCCTTTCACCTGGGGGTGGAAACAAGCACATCTTTCAGATATGTAGACCAATCAAACTGTCAGGAGGCTTTTGGGTGCCAAGACAAATACATTGTTTGCTGTGATTAAACTGCAGTAAAAGCCATTTACCAACGGTTTCAGAAATCCATGTTCGTGGTTGAATAAACAATCCTGACCCATGCCCGTGCTTATCGTTTTTGTTACTATGCCTGGTGGTAAACATCCCATTGTTGTGTAAGTTACGACCCCTATCAATCCTAGCACAAACAGCACTCCATTGCATCAAAGATTATCGGATCCCATTTGGCAGCGAGACTATCACCAGGACCTTGAAACAACAATGGTCCTCCAGTCCTGCCTGATGTTCAACGCTATAGGCGCACTCCTCCAAGGAATGTCCAGAGGTCTCGGGTAGCCAACACCTCCCATAGGCAAACCTCGGGGCTGCGGGGCAAGACTCGAGGGAAAGGTTAGGTAAGGTAACCTAAAGTAGGGCTAGATAGTTAGGTAGTTAGGTAGGCAGGTACCATGTCAATGCGTGCATTGGAATGTGATTGGTGGTGTAATGTAATGTAGTATAATGTAATGTAATGTCGTGTCTGACATATAGTGAAATGTAACGTCATGTAACGTAATCTAACTACAAATGTAAATGTGAATGTAAAATGTAAATGTAATGTAATGTAACGCGTTATATAGGGATATACACACAGATATCGATATAGATATATATATATGTAAATATAGAAATGAATATTACAATAATATACGTATGGATATATTGATATACATGTATGTATCTATCTCTCCATCCACCATCTACCTGAATTTACCTATGTACTTGAGGCCAGGGGTAGCTGACGAAAGCTAGCAAGCAAGTTGCATCATGGGACAATGTTTAGGGGTTGAGAGGAGACATTAAGAGCAGAAATCACTAGAACAATATTTGCTGATCCTGTTCATCTTGCGTTTCGTCGGCTGAAAAAGTTTGGCGCAGGAAAGGTTTTGGCTGGTTGGACAGGAAAGTAGGTATGAATGTGTGTGTGTGTTTGGTGGGGAAGGAAGAAGTTCAGGTACCCCCCGGATAAAAAGCCCATGACCATGGGATACAAGACCTTGCCGGGGATCGTTGAAGTGGGTGACACACGATGATTGACGACGCATTCGAACGACACATTTCCTGGCGGCACATCCCGCCGCCCTTGCACTGGCGACACATAGCGACAACATATTCCCTGACGAAGCTGCAAGTTTTAAGCAGTTGCCCTAGCAAAAATGCCGTACGTAGAACGGCCTTATGGTGGAAAATCGGAACTGGGATCGTATTATGCGGCAGTGGCACCCGAGGTATGCCGCGCTGTATATACCTTTTGGGGGTCTTTTTGAGCATGCGGGCCTCTGTCCGATCTTCCCGGCATTTCATTTGCGGGAAACTTGCATTTTTTCTTCCATTTTGCCGCTGTACAACCGTGCAACCTTGCTTCTCCAGAGATTTCCCGTCAATGTCACCCTTCGATAAAGTCATGTTGGGGCTCCACTTTCGCGACAACACCTTTTGTTACACCTCTAATTTTGTTGCACCTCTCCTTTCGTAACAGTTCTTCACCTGTCGCAGCAGGACCTCTCCTTCCTTAACACCACCTCTCCTCCTTCAAAAGCGCCTCGCCTCTCGTTGCTGCACTTCTCCTTTCGTTACAACACCTTCATTTTCGTTGCAGCACCTCTCCTTTCGTTGCATGCAACACCTCTTCTTGAGCAACACCACCTCTCTTCTCGTAACAGCACCTTCCCTTTCGATACATCACCTCCCTTTGCTACAAAACCGCATCTTTTTGCTGTTAATTACACCCCTCCTTCTGCTACAGCGCCTCTCATTTTGCTGCAACACCTCTCCTTTCATTACAACACCTCCCAATCCGTTGCAACACAAACACTCGCATCTCTCCTCTCGGTACAACACCTCTCCTTCTACGACAACATCTCCCCTTTCATTGCAACGCCTCTCTTTTCGTTACCGCACGTCCCCTTTCGTCACGCCACGTCTCATTTTGTTGCAACACTCTCGTATCGGACTAATACTTCGCTTTCGTGACAAGACCCCTGTTCCAGTGCCACCACATCACCTCTCACATAACAGCCCTTTACCTTTCGTTGTACCACCTCTCCTCCGTAACAGCGGCAGCCCTTTCGCTATTCAGCACCTCTCCTTCCGTTACAACGCGTCTCCTTTTTTTCTCAGAGCACGTCTCCCTTTGTAACAGCACCGCATCTCCAGGCAAAGTGTCTTCGTCTTCGTCTTGGCTGAGGAATTCGTCTGCGATACACCGAAATCGTCTGCGGAATCCGTCTTCGTCTGCAGGTCGAATGTTGCACCCCCGGCACCGACACAATGGCTCTTTACGTGAACGTTTCACGCGATACCTGATTCCAGTCCCTGCCATATTCAGCTACTTCAGCTAGCTGATGCTTGTTTTCGAGATCTACCTATCTACGTACCTGTGTCTGTGTATCTATGTATTTATGTATCTACATGTACACTTCAAACTGCCGATTGCATGTTGCCAAATCCCAAGTTTCAGGGTTTTCGGCTCCCAGACCGGCCCAATTGCCAATGGCATGTGGCATCAGCACTGCGACGGTGACATACACCAGAATCCCCAAGGATCCCAAAGACATGACCTAGCAAGGTGGACTTGGGGACTCTTAGAGCATGGATTCACAGGGTTTTAAATCCGGTGGTTGCACATAAATCACAAGCAAGTTGTATTGTATATATATATATGCATCTATATTATGTATGTATGTATGTATGTATGTATGTAGGGATGGATGGATGGATGGATGGATGGATGTATGTATGTAATGTATGTAATGTATGTATATTATAGATATGTATGTATGTATGTATGTAATGTATGTATATTATGTGTATGTATGTATGTACGTATGTATGGATGGATGGATGGATGGGTGGATGGATGTATGTATGTATGTATGTATATTATTTATATGTATGTATGTATATTATATATATGTATGTATATTTTGTGTATATATATATATATGTATGTATATTTTGTGTATATATATATATGTATTATATATTTACATATGTGTATGTATGTATGTATATCATGTGTATATAGATATGTAATATATTTTTATGTATGTATATTATGTGTATATAGATATGTATTTAAATATGTACATATATATATACATATGTATATGTATATTACGTGTGTATAAATATATACTTGTATATTATATATATATATGTATATGTATATCTGTATTATATGTATATATATATATGTATATATGTATTATATATATGTGAATATTTATAGATATATCTATGTATATATATATATTTATTTATTTATATGTGTGTCAATATTATAAATATACGTGAATAATATATGTATTTGCTTACTACATGTATATGTAAGTATATCATATAGATATATATTACATTTGTATATTATATATGTAGACTATTTTATATGTGTATTTCACATATATATTGTATATTATGTATATATAGTATGTATATGATATGTAAAATATATGTATATACATATATATTACATATATATGTATATCATATATTTATATATTGTGTATATTAAAAATATCATGTATATTATCTGCATATATATGTTATGTATATTATATATGTATGTGGAAAATATGTGTATATATATATGTAAAATCTGTATGTATATATATATGTATAATATAATTTTATTACATTAAATATTTACGTATATATATATGAGATATAGATAAAGGTACTTAGATTATATATATATATATATCCATATTTATATATATAATATAATATATATATATTAAATAATATATATATATATTGCTCGCGGGCTGATGTTTGCCCGAAATCCACGGAATTCCATTCGGGACTGCCATCAGCTGTGTTGCTGCGGTGCGGGCTCTTCGCAAACTGCGACGATACAAAAGATTGATATTACCTACGTCTCATGGCATTTTTGCGCTTAATTGAGACGGTGCTAAAATCACCTAATTTGCAGTGTTTCAAGCTTAAGTAAAACCTCAACAAACCGCAAAACTTTGAAAGAACACCAAGTATAACCCAACCCTAAAAAAAAACAAACAAACCCTAAACCAATCCTAAATCAAGCATAAATAACCCTAAATAGACCCTAAAACAAACAACCTTGAATAAACCCTAAAACAACCCTAAATAGCACAAAAATTAACTACACATAAGGTAAACAGACCCCAAAGAAATCTACTCTCACCCCCAGTGAACCCTAAAACAATTTTAATATCCTACACAAACCACAACGTAACTAAACCCCAAATAAAACTTTGGGCAAACGTCCGCCCCTGAGGGATATCTACATACAGATATACATTATTAATTATTTCTATCAAACATGTTACATACATTGTGTATATATATATAAGGATGGAAAAATATGTTCAGTTATATAATATGTAAATATCCGCCGACCCCGGCCTTAGCCAAGGCAGGTGCGGCGCCTGGGACCACCGCAGGTGTGGAACTTGTCTTTCTTAGCAACAGGCATCCCAAGGCCACATCAATGGCTTCTGATGGGCGTCCAAGCGTGCCATTTGCCACGCCTTAAACGCTGAAAAGGCTTCAAACCTTTACAACTTGTCTTTCTTAGCAACAGGCATCCCAAGGCCACATCAATGGCTTCTTCTTCTGATGGGCGTCCAAGCGTGCCATTTGCCACGCCTTAAACGCTGAAAAGGCTTCAAACCTTTACAACTTGTCTTTCTTAGCAACAGGCATCCCAAGGCCACATCAATGGCCTCTTATAGGCCCCAAGCCTGCCGTTGCTTGGCCTTCAACGCTTCAAAAGCTTCAAACCGTTACAACTTTGCAAAAGCTTCGCGGAACGCCCAACCGCGCAGGCAAAAGCTCCCAAGCCACATCAATGCGCAACGCCCAACCGCGCAGGCAAAACCTACCCCAAGGCCAGATCCATGGCTTCTTCTGGGCGGTCCAGCCTGCCGTTCGCCAGGCTTTCGCAGCCAACAGGCACCCCAAGGCCACATCAATGGCTTCTTATGGGCGTCCAAGCCTGCCGTTTGCCAGCCCCTAAACTCCTAAAACCCCTAAAACCCCTAAAGCCCTTAAAACCCTTAAAACCCTTCAAACTCTGCAAAAGCGTCTCGGAATGCCCAACCGCGCAGGCAAAAGCTACCCCCAAGCCACATACACTTTTTCCGTCGCAACGCCGTCCTTGTCCGCCAGGCTTTCGCAGCCAACAGGCACCCCAAGGCCACATCAATGGCTTCTTATGGGCGTCCAAGCCTGCCGTTTGCCAGCCCCTAAACCCCTAAAACCCTTAAAACCCTTAAAACTCTGCAAAAGCGTCTCAGAATGCCCAACCGCGCAGGCAAAAGCTACCCCCAAGCCACATAATCTTTTTCCGTTGCAACGCCGTCCTTGTTCGCCAGGCGTTCGCAGCCAACAGGCACCCCAAGGCCACATCAATGGCTTCTTATGGGCGTCCAAGCCTGCCCTTTGCCAGCCCCTAAACCCCTAAAACCCCTAAAACCCCTAAAACCCCTTAAACCCTTAAAACCTTTAAAACCCTTCAAACTCTGCAAAAGCGTCTCGGAACGCCCAACCGCGCAACCCCCAAGCCACATCAATGCGCAACGCCCAACCGCGCAGGCAAAAGCTACCCTAAGGCCAGATCCATGGCTTCTTCTGGGCGGTCCAGCCTGCCGTTCGCCAGGCTTTCGCAGCCAACAGGCACCCCAAGGCCACATCAATGGCTTCTTATGGGCGTCCAAGCCTGCCGTTTGCCAGCCCCTAAACCCCTAAAACCCCTAAAACCCCTCAAACCCTTAAAACCTTTAAATAAAAACCCTTCAAACTCTGCAAAAGCGTCTCGGAACGCCCAACCGCGCAACCCCCAAGCCGCATCAATGCGCAACGCCCAACCGCGCAGGCAAAAGCTACCCCAAGGCCAAATCCATGGCTTCTTCTGGGCGGTCCAGCCTGCCGTTCGCCAGGCTTTCGCAGCCAACAGGCACCCCAAGGCCACATCAATGGCTTCTTATGGGCGTCCAAGCCTGCCGTTTGCCAGCCCCTAAACCCCTAAAACCCCTAAAACCCTTAAAACCCTTAAAACTCTGCAAAAGCCTCTCGGAATGCCCAACCGCGCACGCAAAAGCTACCCCCAAGCCACATACGCTTTTTCCGTTGCAACGCCGTCCTTGTTCGCCAGGCTTTCGCAGCCAACAGGCACCCCAAGGCCACATCAATGGCTTCTTATGGGCGTCCAAGCCGGCCGTTTCCCAGCCCCTCAACCCTTAAAACCCCTAAAACCCCTACAACCCCTACAACCCCTAAAACCCTTAAAACCTTTAAAACCCTTCAAACTCTGCAAAAACGTCTCGGAATGCCCAACCGCGCAGGCAAAAGCTACCCCCAAGCCACATACACTTTTTCCGTCGCAATGCCGTCCTTGTCCGTCAGGCTTTCGCAGCCAACAGGCACCCCAAGGCCACATCAATACCTTCTTATGGGCGTCCAAGCCTGCCGTTTGCCAGCCCCTAAACCCCTAAAACCCCTAAAACCCTTCAAACCCTTAAAACTCTGCAAAAGCGTCTCGGAATGCCCAACCGCGCAGGCAAAAGCTACCCCCAAGCCACATAATCTTTTTCCGTTGCAACGCCGTCCTTGTTCGCCAGGCGTTCGCAGCCAACAGGCACCCCAAGGCCACATCAATGGCTTCTTATGGGCGTCCAAGCCTGCCGTTTGCCAGCCCCTAAACCCCTAAAACCCCTAAAACCCCTAAAACCCTTAAAACCTTTAAAACCCTTCAAACTCTGCAAAAGCGTCTCGGAACGCCCAACCGCGCCACCCCCAAGCCACATCAATGCGCAACGCCCAACCGCGCAGGCAAAACCTACCCCAAGGCCAGATCCATGGCTTCTTCTGGGCGGTCCAGCCTGCTGTTCGCCAGGCTTTCGCAGCCAACAGGCACCCCAAGGCCACATCAATGGCTTCTTATGAGCGTCCAAGCCTGCCGTTTGCCAGCCCCTAAACCCCTAAAACCCCTAAAACCCTTAAAACTCTGCAAAAGCGTCTCGGAATGCCAAACCGCGCACGCAAAAGCTACCCCCAAGCCACATACGCTTTTTCCGTTGCAACGCCGTCCTTGTTCGCCAGGCTTTCGCAGCCAACAGGCACCCCAAGGCCACATCAATGGCTTCTTATGGGCGTCCAAGCCGGCCGTTTGCCAGCCCCTAAACCCTTAAAACCCCTAAAACCACTAAAACCCCTACAACCCCTAAAACCCCTAAAACCCCTAAAACCCTTAAAACTCTGCAAAAGCGTCTCAGAATGCCCAACCGCGCTGGCAAAGGCTACCCCCAAGGCACATACGCTTTTTCCGTTGCAACGCCGTCCTTGTTCGCCAGGCTTTCGCAGCCAACAGGCACCCCAAGGCCACATCAATACCTTCTTATGGGCGTCCAAGCCGGCCGTTTGCCAGCCCCTAAACCCTTAAAACCCCTAAAACCATCCTAGCTGTCTCTGGAAAGTTTGAAGTGCCCCTGTTTTTTTTGCATAGCCTAGTGCAGTTTGTATTGTGCAAGTTGTAGAGTATGGAATTGTATGGACATCTATGCTGTTTGGTTTGCTGCATCGAAACTCACACGGGCATGATCTTAAGATATCTGAAGTCAAACTCCATAATTTGGATGTCAACGGCAAAATATGTACCTGCAACATCCTGTTGTGCCACACTTTAGCCTCTTAGCATAGGAGCCAACATCTCACCGGCACAGGCCTCCCCCCAAACAAGGGGGGTCGGCGGCACCAGGGCGTTGGCCCATTCTATATACACATGAGATACGATCAAGTAGAGTAGTTCACAAAATATTTCAAAACAATTCAAAACATGGTTTTCACCAACAATGATATGTAAAGTACGCAACCCAAGGCCCCCGGAACCATAGTTCAGAAAGTTGTCTGTATTTAGTACACCTTCCTATTATTGCAGAAGCATATTTCGGCCTCATATCCCTAGCAGGAAACAGAATGATCTACAAACCGTCATAATAACAAGCTAAATTTTGAGCACTACTCAGCAGTCTAAGTTTCAACTTTTGCCATATCCACCTTATCAAGCCTTGCAAACGCTGGGCCCCAGCACCAAAGACTAAGGGACTACCTATTTACCCAGTTTTCCCCGAGTGTGACCCTATTTCGAACAGCCCCGCCCGTCCTGCACAAAGGTCAGGGAAGTCAACCAGCCGAAGAAAAAAAGGGTGGCCGTGCACATGGCTTGTGCTGCTGAGGCATAGCGTGGACCTCCAACGGTGGTCACCTGGCACATAAATGATCTAAAAAACACCAGTTTTCCCAAGAAAAATGATGTACAAATGGTGGGTTTCGTATATCTATGGTGCTTACCTATGTTACCTATGTTACCTACGTTACCCATTGAAACCAGTCACAAATCCACTGGCATTAGAGACCACATGTTCAATAATATACAGTTACAGTAGAGTGTCCGGTTGAATGGCCTTTTTCCTGTGTTTTTTGATTGAAAACTGCAATCCCCATTTTTGTCCACGAACTGAATCGAAAATAGATAACGCTTTCCCACAGGCCCACTGCTGCCACGACCGTTCCTCCACAACTACGGCCCAATAGCCGACGCCCCAGGTGCTATAGAAGCACAAGACAAAGCAACCCATGCCAGTCCTCAAGATCAAGGAACTCAGAAAGGAATGAAACCGGCCTCATGAGATTCGGATTGTCCCAAATGATCATGATTTCGGCTCAATATGAGGACATTGCAAAAAAAAATGTGTAGATTGTGTGATTTCACTGCAACGACATGGATATAACCAGCCACCAATCGGTCAAAAGTACGGAACCCATGGACCAATAGGGCAAACAATGAACCTATTTACACTAAAAATCTACAGTGACTGGACAACTAATTTGATTGGTCAACAAGTCCAATGACAGTTATTTCTGAAAGAAAAACAAATTTATCCAATGGTGTTTCGTTCAAAATCCTTTACAGATCCAGTCACTCCAATAAACAAATCCAATGACAGTTATTTCTGAAAGAAAAACAAATTTATCCAATGGTGTTTCGTTCAAAATCCTTTACAGATCCAGTCACTCCAATGGGCCTCGGTGCAACCGAGGAACATTGACCCTGCTTAGATATTGATTGGTCGAAGGAAGTTTAGAAGTCAAACTTCCGACAATATGGACAGATGAAAAGCAGAGCAGGGAAGAGGCAGAGAGAAGAGAAAGATCAGAAGGAAAGAAGATGGAGATGCGCGAAAAGGTAGGAAAGTCGCGAAACATTGTGTTTTTCCAATGATTTGTGGCTCCGGAGGGTCGAAAAGTAGGCTCGCTAAAGCGGCGGGTGCGGAGCCAGCTGGCCAGATAAGTGATGAAAAATTGCACGCCGTTGTGGCGCGAAGCAGATTTCCAAGTCAAAATGTACAAAACACAACAGTGTCGGACCACTTTTGGAAGTTGAGATGTCAAAAAAGTGCACGCCGTTGTGGCACGAAGCACATTTGCAAGTCAAAATGTAGAAAGCACCTCAGCTGCGGACCACTTTTGGAAGTTGCGATGTCGAAAAAGTGCACGCCGTTGTGGCGCGAAGCGCATTTCCAAGTCAAAATGTTAAAAACACACCATTGTCGGACCACTTTTGGAAGTTCAGATGTCGAAAAAGTGCAAGGCATTGTGGCGCGAAGCACATTTCCAAGTCAGAATGTACAAAACACACCAGGTTCGGACCACTTTTGGAAGTTGAGATGTCGAAAAAGTGCACGCCGTTGTGGCGCGAAGCACATTTCCAAGTCAAAATGTACAAAACACCACATGTTCGCGCCACTTTTTTGGAGGTTCGGATGTCGAAAAAGTGCACGCCGTTGTGGCGCGAAAGACATTTCGAAGTCAAAATGTTAAAAACACAAGGGGTTCGGACCACTTTTGGAGGTTCGGATGTCGCTTCGCTTCACTACACTACACTACAGGACATTACACTACACCCGACTCCAGTACACTATATTACACGACATTACACTCCAGTACACTCCACTACATTAAATTACACTACACCACACTACATTACATTGAATGACACTGCAACACAGATAGACAGGTAGACAGATAGACAGATAGACAGATGAAAGGGAGAGATAGATAGACAGGTAGGTAGATAGATAGATAGATAGATAGGTAGTTAGATGAAAGCGAGAGAGAGAGAGAGAGAGAGAGAGAGAGGCCAGCTGGGTAGATGAGATAGATAGATAGATGGCTAGACAGATAGACAGACAGAAAGACAGACAGATCGATAGACAGACAGACAGACAGACAGATAGATAGATAGATAGACAGGTAGACAGCTAGACAGCTAGACAGATAGACCGATGAAAGAGAGAGAGAGAGAGATAGATAGATAGATAGATAGATAGACAGGTAGACAGCTAGACAGATAGACAGATGAAAGAGAGAGAGAGAGAGAGATAGATAGATAGATAGATAGGTAGATAGGTAGATAGGTAGATAGGTAGATAGGTAGATAGGTAATGAGATGAAAGAGAGAAAGAGAGAGATAGATAGATCGATAGATAGATAGATACATAGAAGATAGGCTGGTAGGTAAGTAGATAGTCAGAGAAAGAGAGAGAAAGAGAGGAGACCTCAAGCACCTTTCGGTCCATCAGTGGCTTCGCTCTGCCATCTCTGATTCACAACAACCAACCTCTCCTATAGGTTTCCTATTTTTGAAACTTCCGCCACCGCCTTGTGCGGTACTACTGGTATAGACCAATGAATGCATGATAAACACTGGGAAATCCAATCGCAATTTTGCTACCACAATATAGGAATTACGTTATATAAAGTTATATATATATATATACATATAAGTTACATACATGATAAAACGTGAATATACATACATACGTGCATGCATGCATGCATGCATACATACATATTTTCCTTACATTACATTGCATTACACTACATTACACTACACTACATTACAACACATTACACTACACTCATTGCAGTACATTACATTACATTACATTGATCACTACATTACACATTCCGTTAACCAGCAGTGCCCGGCCCATGCCGGGGCGGAAGTTTTGGAAAAAAGCTACGATAGGAGGAAAATGGCCTATAGGAATGCTTTTGAGATGCAAAAGCAACGAAGTGTTGAAGTTGTGCAGTGCATCAACGAATGAGCAAATGGTTGTTGAGATGCCAATGAAAGGACATGAAAGAATCCATGCACAACTGACTGAGAGAATCAATGACCCAATGAGTTGAGGCATCAATGAGCTAATGAATGGATGAATCAGTGACATCAGTGAACCGATAATAAAGGAACGAAGCAATGAACTGCGGATCAGACGATAAATCATTCAATCAATGAATCATGGAATCAGAAAATCAATGAAGCAACAAAAAATTAAACAATGAATCAATCAATGAGTGAAGTAATGAATCAATGAACCAATGAACCAATGAAGCAAGGAATCAGTGAATCAATGAAGCAACGAAGCAATGAATCAATGACCGAAGGAATCAAGGAAACAATGCAGTGAACCAGCCAATCAATGATTCAGTGAACCAATGAATCAATTCATCAACGAATCAGTGACGGTGGATCAGCCAATCAATGAACAAACGAATCAGTGAATCAGCCAATCAATGAATCAAAGAATCAGTGAATCAACGAACCAATGAATCAATCAACCAACGAACCAATGAATCAGCGAATCAATGAGTGATTGGAACAAACGGATCAGTGCATCAATGGACCACTGAACAAATGAATGAATCAGTGAACGAATTCACGAACGAATGAACTCAAGATGGATGAAGGATAGGTGAGTGAGTGGAGTGGAGTGGAGTGGAGTGGAGTGGAGTGGAGTGGAGTGGACTGGACTGGAGTGGAGTGGAGTGCACTCATGGAGTGGAGTGGAGTGGCGTGAACTGGACTGGACTGGACTGGACTGGAGTGGGGTGGAGTGGGGTGGGGTGGGGTGGGGGGAGGTGAATGGAGTGGAGACTCGGCTCCACTCGACTCCACTCCACTCCACTCCACTCCAGGAGTCGAGGCGAGTCGAGTGGAGTCGAGCGGTGAGGTGAGTGAGGTGAGAAGGTGAGTGAGGTGAGTGAGGTGAGTGAGGTAGGTGAGGTAGGTGAGGTATAGGTGAGGTAGGTGAGGTAGGTGAGGTGAATGAGGTGAATGAGGTGAATGAGGTGAATGAGGTGAATGAGGTGAACGAGGTGAATGTGAGGTGAGAGTGAGTGAGTTTGAGTGAGAATGAGTAAGTGAGTGAGAGTGAGTGAGAGTGAGTGAGAGTGAGTGAGAGTGAGTGAGAGTGAGTGAGAGTGAGTGAGTGCATGAGAGTGAGTGTGAGTGAGAGTGAGGGTGAGAGTGAGAGTGAGAGTGAGAGTGAGTGAGTGCGAGTGAGTGTGAGTGAGTGTGAGTGAGTGAGAGTGAGTGAGAGTGAGAGTGACTGAGAGTGAGTGAGAGTGAGTGAGAGTGAGAGAGAGAGAGTGAGAGTGAATGAAGATGAGAGTGAGTGAGAGTGAGAGTGAGAGTGAGAGTGAGAGTGAGAGTGAGAGTGAGAGTGAGAGTGAGAGTGAGAGTGAGAGTGAGTGAGAGTAAGTGACAGAGAGAGATAGAGAGAGAGAGAGGGAGAGAGAGAGAGAGTGAGTGAGTGAGTGAGTGCGTGGGTGGGTGAGTGAGTGAGTGAGTGACTGAGTGAGAGTGAGTGACTGAGTGATTGTGAGTGATTGAGTGAGTGAGTGGGTGGGTGGGTGAGTGAGTGCGTGCGTGCGTGAGTGAATGAGTGAGTGAGTGGGTGGGTGAGTGAGTGAGTGCACGTGTGTGAGTCTGTGAGTCTGTAAGTCAGTGAGTCAGTGAGTCAGTGAGTCAGTGGGTCAGTGAGTCAGTGAGTCAGTGAGTCAGTGCCAGTCCGTGAGTCAGTGAGTCAGTGAGTGAGTCCGTGAGTCCGTGAGTGAGTCCGTGAGTCCGTGAGTCCGTGAGTCCGTGAGCCCGTGAGCCCGTGAGCCCGTGAGCCCGTGAGCCCGTGAGCCCGTGAGCCCGTGAGCCCGTGAGCCCGTGAGCCCGTGAGTCCGTGAGCCCGTGAGTCCGTGAGTCCATGAGTCCATGAGCGAGCCCGAGTGAGTCCGTGCGTGAGTCCGTGCGTGAGGTCGGACTATTCACCCTTGGAGATGTCTACAGAGATGACCCTCACCTGCTTCCGTGCCCCCCATCAGGCGGTAAAGCCCGAGCGCAACCGGGACTGGGATGGGAGGAAGGGTAGGAAGAGATTTGGCAAGAGAACACCCTTGGAACCGATCGAGGCGAGAGACCCCCTCGGGACGAGACGGGAGAGATGGAAGAGGGAAGGACAGGGAAGAGGAGAGAAAGGGACGGAGAAAGGAGAGAAGGGAGGGACGGGGGGACCGGGAAGGAGGAGAAAGAGAGGGAGGGCGAGGAGGAGAAGGGAGAAGGACGGAGGGAGGGGGAGAGGCGGAGCGTCCGAGAAAGGGCAGGAGGCGCGGGGACGGCGCGGCGAGTGCGAGGCAGCGGGCGAATGAGGGAGGGAGGAGCGTGAGGGGAGGGCGGAGCGCAACGTGCGTTGACGTGGCGTGCGAGCGTGTGTGCATGCGAGTGTGCGTGCGTGCGTGCGTGCGTGAGTGAGTGAGTGAATGAGTGAGTGAGTGAGTCAGTCAGTCAGTGAGTGAGTGAGTGAATGAGTGAGCTACTTTTCTTTGTGAGCTACTTCTTCACTGAGCGACCTCTTCGCTGAGGCATCTCTTCTCTCAGCTACTTCTTCTTTCTCTGAGCAGCCACTTATCTGGACTTTATCCTTCTGCTCTCACCTGCCTCCCAGCTAGCTTCTGTAGCTTCTGCAACCGAATTCTTCTCTTCGCGCAGCTGTTACATGCGTTCAGCAACCTCCAGCTGCGATCCCGCCTAGCACAAGAGAAGCACTATGGTCAAGAACTACCTTTCGCACAGCTGTTACAATGCGTTTAGCAACCTCCAGCTGCAATCCCGCTTGCCAGGAGCGCCGCAGCATCACTCATGCTTTGCTGCGCGCAGCCGTGACAATGGGTATTGTCCCAGCCGCTTGCAAAGCCTCATATAGCAGGAGCGTCGCACCAAGTATTCGCGCACCGTCAACAATGCGGACTTTTTTAGGCTCCTCCGATCCCCTCAGTTTTTAAGCCTTTTTATATGAAA